TTTTCACCAGAATGTAGGGAATGGGTCTAGGATCCCAAGATAGACCCCTGTTGTACTCCATTTGTTACCAGCTTCCAACCCATTTTATTTTTACCCATGTAGCTGTGCACCCCATCATACTGTTTGATATAAAAAAAAAATATTGTGGAAGACAGTGCTGAAAGACTGTCAGCAGCAAGAGGAAGACAAGGGAAAATGTTAGTGCACTGCTGAATGGGTAGGGGGCCTTGGTGACAGAGGATGCCAAGAAGGCAGAGGTACTAAATGCCTTCTTTGCCTCTGTCTTTACTGCTAAGGCCACTCCCCATGAAGTGCGGGGCTCAGGTGGAAGAGATATAAATGGGCAAGAGGATGACCTTCTGCGGGTTGAGAAGGATTGGGTTAGGGATCACTTAGACAAACTGGCCATTCAAAAATGTATGGGCCAAGATGGGATGCATCCAAGAGTGTTGAGGGAATTGGCGGAGGTTATTGCTCAGTCTCTCTCCATCATCCCCGAGAAGTCCTGGAGAGCAGGGGAGGTGCCGGAAGACTGGGAGCGAACCAACATCACTCCAGTCTTCAAAAAGGGCAAGAGGGAGGAGTCGGACAACTACAGGCCAGTCAGCCTCACTTCCATCCCTGGAAAGGTGATGGTGCAGCTCATCCTAGAGAACATCTCCAGGCATATGAAGGAGAAGAAGGTGTTGAGGAGCAGTCAGCATGGATTCACCAAGGGGAAGTCATGTCTGACAAACCTTATAGCCTTCTATGATGGGATGACTGGCCAGCTGGATGAGGGCAGAGCCGTGGATGTTGTCTACCTTGACTTAAGCAAGGCTTTTGACACCGTCTCCCATGATATCCTCATACAGAAGCTCCAGGAGAGTGGACTAGGTGAGTGCACGGTGAGGTGGATTGAGAACTGGCTGGACGGCAGAGCTCAGAGGGTGGTGATAAATGGGGCCGAGTCCAGTTGGAGGCCTGTGGCCAGTGGTGTCCCCCAGGGGTGAGTACTGGGCCTGATGCTGTTCAATTTGTTCATCAATGTCCAGGAGCTGGGCACTGAGTGTACCCCGAGCAAGTTTGCGGACGACACCAAGCTGGGTGGACTGGCCCACACTCCAGAAGGCTGTGCTGCCATCCAGAGGGACCTGGACAGGCTGGATAGCTGGGCAGAGAGGAACCTCATGAGGTTCAACAAGAACAAGTGCAGGGTCCTGCACCCGGGGAGGAATAACCACAGGCATCAGTACAGATTAGGGGTCGACCTGCTGGAGAGCACCTCCACGGAGAGGGACCTGGGAGTCCTGGTTGACACTAAGTTATCCACGAGTCAGCAGTGTGCCCTCGTGGCCAAGAAGGCCAATGGGATCCTGGCCTGCATCAGGAGGAGTGTTGCCAGCAGGTCAAGGGAGGTGATTCTGTCCCTCTACTCAGCTCTGGTGAGGCCGTACCTGGAGTACTGTGTGCAGTTCTGGGCTCCCCAGTATAAGAGTGATGTGGAGCTCCTAGAGAAGGTCCGGCGGAGAGCAAGTAAGATGATTAAGGGACTGGAATATCTCTTGTATGAGGAGAGACTGAGCAAGGGGAAATGGGTACAAGTTGAAACACAGGAAGTTCCATCTCCAGGTGAGGAAGAACTTCTTTACTGTGAGGGTGACAGAGCACTGGAACAGGGAGGTTGTGGAGTGTCCTTCTCTGGAGGTCTTCAAAACCCGCCTGGATGCCACCCTGTGCCACATGCTCTAGGTGTGCCTGCTTGAGCAGGAAGGTTGGACTAGATGATCTCCAGAGGCCCCTTCCAACCTTGAATATTCTGTGATTCTGTGACATCCACTGCTCTCCCAGCATCTACATATTCATCATTTCATTACAGAAAGTAATCATGTTGGTCAGGCATGATTTGCCCTTGGTAAAATCATGCTGACTGTTCCAAATCACTTTCTTCTCCTTCATATATCTACAAATGTGTTCCAGTAGGACTCACTCCATGATTTTCCCAGCTGTTCTGAGCTAAACCAGGACATCTGGTCATTTCAGCCTAATTCCACTTCCACATTAAACTCATGGTGCACGTCATAATGAAGTGACACCACACTCACTTTCAGACACTAACATCTGTCCCAGTAATGAAATGGGGATGGTTGCAAAAAGTTGGAGTGAAACTGTTTAACTAAAGATACTTTTGTAAAGAACATGCTATTATTTGTAAGCAATTCCAGTTCCTGGGAAGGGTGGATGAACACTGGGGAGAAGGTATAGAACAATGCACTGCTAATGTTTTCTAAAATGTGAAATGTCATCTGCAGCTTTTTCAGACCCATAGATAGAGACTCGCTACTCTCTATCTATGATCATTTGCCTAAAGTGTGTGTCTACCGTAAGTGTTCAAATCAGACAAATAAGCATATAGTTAGGGAGTTCCAAGGGCCTGCTCAGGCCCAGCCCTGGGCATTGGCCACCCTGGTAGGCCCAGCCCCGAGGCCAGATCCTGGAGCAGGGGTTCCTTGAGCTGTCATACATATAAAATATATTGACAGCATCTTCTTGACTCTTGCCTTTAGAGTGAGTGAGCATTTTATAAAAAAGGGAATTTTTGACAACTGCTCAGCTGCTATGTATCTGAACCATTCTTGAAGCTCAGTCTCAACTTCCTCTGCTTGAACTCCAGAGATAGAATCGAATTATGCTTATATGCTTTGTGACATTGTGATGAAGTGCAGGTGTTGTAGTCATCTACACTCCTCAGTGCTTGTGCTGTAAGTGCTTAGGGACAAGATTAAACAGGAATGGTGTTGAAAGGCTTATGGTTGGACTTGATGTTCTTGAAGATCTTTTCCAACCCTAATGATTCTATGATTCTGTGATTCTATGATTTATGCATTTTGCAGACAGAAATTCAAGTTGTGCATATCAACAAGAAGTACTGCAATATTATTTTAGAACTAGTCATATACAGGTTGCAGTGTCTCAAAGCTCGCTTAAAGCAGCTACATCAACTTGCATTGTCCCATTCCCCATATCCTCTTTCTTCTACTACAATGATCATAATAAGGAAAGGTGAGGTGGGAGTCCTTTACACCTATCAGTTTTGCAAGTTTATCTGTACTACAGTTCAATATTGTTTCCTTTCCAGACAGTACTTCTAAATCTAAGCAAATTTTTTTACCCTATTGTGAAAGACTTTTATGTTTTAACCCACAGATCAGTGCAGTCACTAAATCAGTAGCAAGTCACAAGTACCATGGCATGCAGTTTCCCCCCTGCTATATTTGAAACAGCAGTATAATGATTTGGTAGTTCAGGTGTATAGCTTTTAACTGCAAATTATTTGAAGCTTTTCCCAACTTATTTTCCATTAATTAAAACGTACATAAAGGAACCCCAGGAAAAGCCCACTGAAGCAGACATATGCTATGATGTTAATATGAAAAATATGGTTGATGTTGATTTGTGTTTCTTCACACCGTTCTGTTTTTTTTTAGTAGCACAGCACAGCTTTATCAAACTACATTGTCAGAAGCACAATATGCAAACTGTCAAACTGTCATTTTTTGATGGATAAATCCAGAACTGAGCAGGAAGGCCTTAGGGGAAGAACGGGGGAGGAAAGTTTTAAATAGAAAAGACATTTGAAATGGAAAATTATTAGTATTTGAGAAGGCCATTCTTTTACATAACTTTTAAAAGTAAAAATTATTTCAATTCAGAAATTGCTAGTGGACACTCCATATTCTATGGTATAAAGGTCTCTTCTGAAATAGTCCTCCAAATTTGCCTATCATTTTGAAAGAGAAATTTTGTGAAGCCACAATATAACCATTCTTGTGTTATTGCAATGATACTTAAAACAAAAAAAAAATACTTTTAATCCCAATTTTGTAGCTGAACTTTATATTAATTTAGAGTGAAGGTATAGATGCTCACTGGCTCTGAAAAGGAGACTCTAATTGACCTGTGTCTGGATATGCTTTATTATTAACTTGCGCTAATCCCATAGCAAGTGTTCCTGATTGTTTCTCTTGAATTCTCACACATGAAATGTGTATTACAACTTGCATCCAAACCTCAAACTTCAATGAGGAACATAATGCAATTAATAAAGTTATAATTGGACTGTAATTTTTCATAATGGTAGGATAATTCAGAGACAAAACCAAACAATCTAAATCTGATATAAATGTGTGCACTGGAGATTCATTCCATCCTAGTTTAGCATATATCTGAAAGCCACACCCAAGTAGTTATCTGCTCTATATTTTAACAGCTCAGCTGAGGAGTTTGGAGAGTACTTATGAGAGTACTTTGAAGGAGTACACCTCTGCTGCTTTCTTTTACTATAACCTTCAAATGAGATCAATAATTATGATTCTAGCTCTGTCTATCAAATAGATAGTATATATAAAAGGTGATAGTGGAGTAAATATTCTTACTGATTCATGATAAAGGAGAGGAGATGTGAATTATATTTTTTTTGCTTTTTGCAAACACGTTTGCAAAAACTTGTTAAGAGTAAAAGAATTATTTCCTCTGATTTGAACCAGCATAATTCTCCCCAAATTTTTTCCTCCGAACTACAGTGAATAGTTCAAATAGCCCTGTTCTTGTCTATCATACATGCACAACCCTCATTTTTTTCAAGTAGTTACTCAATTATAAATGAAAATATGATTTCACCCATTTAGAAAATATAAACGTTTCAAACTCTGAACAGTTTTTAATGCTTAGTGCTGCATTTTTAACAATTAAGCTGGGTTCCAAAGACTTGTTTTAATCATCATGATCATTATGTACAGTAATATTATTGTGTGCTAGAGAGGTGATATTTCTCTGAAAAGCACAGGCAGACTACCATATTTATCTCCTTTACAAAACACATAAAAACTGCAGAGATAGAGTTTTAAGGCTGGAATTCTCTGCTTCAAGCTAATGATTAACTCCAGGAAATTATGACTCTGTGGCCCAAATTAAACTGTCACTATATTTTCCTACACATTTTCTTCTCTCTATATCAAATACTTTCACAGTTTCTGTTTCATGCAAGTATTTTTTTTCCATGTAGTTTTACAAGCAGTAATAAATGACTGTGTTACACATTGGAAAGGAAAAACAGAACTCGATGTACATCCTGGTGTTCTCCAAGAGTCCGAGAGTATGCCCAAGAGTGTTCATAGTCAGGAGCTGATGAAAAAAGGAGAATAAAGTCTTCCTACTTTGTGATCAAAAACAAAAGTGTTTAAATGCCATTAAACTCAATTACAAAGCCCAGTGAAATTCAGTCAGTGCTCTAGAACTATAGAGCTTTTACTGAGATGCTTTTAATTAGTTTTCCTGGAATTACAATAGACCCAGGATAAGAGCACCAGAACAGTTCGTAAAAACCACAATTCTAGGTAATACTTTGAAATAGCAAAGTGGTTGAAAGTGATTTTGAAAAGATAAACATTTTTTCTTACATTCACACTGAGTCAAAGAAAATGAGGATAGCTGCAGTGGGATTCTTCATGTCTCAGTAACTTTAGAACCTGAAATATTATAAAAATGGTACATGTGCATGCATATAAAATACATTAATGAATGCTATTATTACTTATATTTATAATTAAGAATATGTTTACATTTATAATTTTAGTTTGTAGTTTAGCTTAATCTTAGCATTAGATTAAGTAACTAGCAAGTGTTTTAAAAAAATGAAGATTTAGATAAGAGAATTCTGACATTTTTTACTTCAGTATACGAAAGAGCTTTCTATGAAACTAAAATGACTAAACGTGAAGTTCCTACATATTTGAAGTCATATAAGAAAACTTGTGATAAGAAAGAAATTAAAGATAATCATTTAACTTCAAACTTTTTTAGAATGTACATTCGCAAAGTGACAGAAGTAAAGCAATATAATCAAATTTTGCCTATTTTCCTTCTTTTGAACAGAGCACTGAGACTAGTATGGTTAGCTACATAAATCCTAAACTAATCTGTCTGGAATGGTCTGCATCACTTGTATGAACCTGCAGTTCATTGCTGAATTGCTGATCGCTGAATGCCAGTGATTTTGTTAAGTTTGCCCAATTCTTCCTATTCTGACACTTTATTTTCATTTGTTCCTAATTCTATCAAGATTTAATGGTTTAGGTTCAAACATTTCATGCTCATGGTATTTATAATTCTTCTATCATTTATTTATTTTAATTTACAGCAAAATAATGTCTATTTCTGAAAGTATAGCAAGGAGAATTATATTCTAATGCTTGGTGACAGTTCATCTAAAAGCCTCCAATACAATTAGAAAGTTGCCATATGGGTCCTGAACTTGGACTGCCTTGGACATGTTGTAGACGTTTTTCTGGTTACCCACTTTTCCTTGGCTTTTAATAAATTCCCTTATCAAAGCTGAAGGTATTTGCACATCTTGCAGAATTCTTCAGCACCAAATCTATCCCAGGGGTATTTCTGAATTAATTTTAATAGATTTTTGCACTGGAGAAATCATTCTACATTTCTGCACTCACCATCAAATGACAATGTTGCATAGAGCTTTTTTTTAATATTCTCTCCAGGTATAACCCTGCGGCTGCTAAGGCTTCTTGCTCTACAACTGTTCCTGCCAGGGAAAAGGTGTTGCTATAGCCGCAGGCTAATAGTAACTGCCAAGCCTGATTTGATGCCATTTAGTCTACGTCTACACAGATTCAAAAGAATCTGTCTTTTTGTCTCCCCTTCACATCTCTGGGGCTAATCACTTTTACTCATCACTACAAAAATGTGTTTTCTTGCCTGACAGAATAAAGATACAGAAATTTCCTGCTCCAATTTAGAAGTTCTCAGCTAAGCATGATGCTAGTGAAGATTTTCAAATTTGTAATTCACAAAGAAAAACACAGTAATATAATGAGCTTAAAACTGTCTAATTAATTCCTAATTAATGTAAGAATGAAACTGAGTGATATGTTTGAAACACCATATAGTTTTTAAAGCTCATAGAAAGGGAAGAGATCAAGCTAATGTATGTTACTTTCAAAACTTCATGAAATATTTAATCTTAATTCATTCTGCAGTTTAGAATAATTTGACCACTGACTGAGGAAAGCGGTATCATATCCATTAGCACTAAGCCATCCCACAACAAACATACTGAAGCCTTGCATGACATATTGTCCTGCACATTTGCTTTTTCTCTCAGTTCTAACCTAAACCCCATGTTTTTTATCCCTTATGCTGAAACTAAGTAGAAATAGGTATTAACCTTTCTGTCAGGTCTGTTTAATAACTCAGTGCAAATTACTGATTTTTTCAGTCACTGGCTCTTGTACAGGCTGCCCTTAAGTCCTTTCCTATCATGTTTTTTTCCTGCTGTAGCAATGTTTACTGCATACTCTTTCCTTCTGTTAAGAAAGCTGTTCTTCTTTCCTCAGGACAACTAACATCAGCTATCATGATGCGCAAAACAGTCAAGAGAAATAGTCTTAGCTTTCTGGAAGGTAAGATCACTAAGGTCAAGGCTGTACTACCACCTAGGCTGAAGCTAAGAAAGTTCACTTTTCTTCAAGAACTTCTCTTCAGTGTGAGGATTTTTTTGATTGGTTTATTTACTCTTCCTCCCTCTGGGTATTTTTTTGTTTGTTTGTTTCTTTGTTTATGGGGGTTTTTTTTTTTCATCTCTAAACTGTTCATGCATCATATTATGCTTAGAATAAATTTACAGCTTTTTCACCAATCAAGGAATCAACTGAAAAATTGTAAAGCTGTGATTCAGGCCACCTGTGGCTTGGTATGAAGGCTCACAGCCCACAACATTGCTGTTGCCAGCGTTTGTAGACTATGCCAGAGGATGAAAGTAATTATTTGTTCATATATTGATTTTCTTAATCTTCTATTATTTTATACCTATATTCAATTTTCATTAAGTAACTCCTTTCAAAAGATTGGCTTTGATTTGAAAGCCTTGTGAAAATACGTCTACATATCTGTTAAAGGAACACTCCTAAACCAAGGAGAGATTCAAACTAAATTGAGATTGAAGGTGCTGATAAAATTACCATTCCTCTCCTGCTTTATATGTAATAAAAAATATTACATAGAATTTTACATGTTAGAGTTAATGTGGATTTCTCTGATGCAATTAGGATAATTATAATTTTTTTACATTTAAGAAGTTTCATCCATGATGACAAGGTATCTGATTCGGATATGGACCATGGTACCATGTTATCCAAGCAATCATTTGGGTACAGACTTATGCAGAAAGATTTCTTTGACACAGTAAGCAGACTATCAGTCATGATGCAGCAGTCCTGTTTCTGCTGTTAGTCCTTACTTCTAGAGAGCCAGTTTCAAAATCTTTGCAACATGCTCCATTTGGCATTTCAGCTCCAGAACTACCCTGCACAGGACAGACTTAGGAGTTTCTGAGTATATAGAATAGATGGGCTTTAAATAAGTGTTATTTGACACCTAGGATAACAGGCTGAAAAATTAGCTTCCATGTTTGAAAGAATCACATTCCCTGAGAAACTTAGAATGACCCTAGGATTGCATGCATGCATGGCTTTTTTTGTTGCTTAAATATGTGCATGTGTATGGGGGTGTATATATATGTATATATACACACACACACACACATATATGTATGTATGTATTCTTTTTGATCAAATAAAACACAAAATGTGGCCTTTAAATTTTTCAGTTGATTCACTGCTTGATATATAGGTAAGAGAGGGAAAAGCAAAATTTTTGTATCAAAATTGCCTCAAAATAATTTTGAAATGAAAGATCACAGATGTGAAAGGGTAGAGAGGTCCACTGCATGCACTTTGAAAGAAGCTAAAGATGCAAAACAGTTACTTCACTACTAAATAAAAGCATTTTAATGAGCATTATATCTTTCCTTATGTAGGAAGGATGTTAATTTTTTTTAGTACTTAGAGTAAACTATTTATTTAAATATCACTAATAAAAATCAAACTTATTCTAAGTATTCTCAGAAAGAGATTCAGTTTCAAAGATCCTAAGATGTTAATCAAAGAACTGAAGGAACAAGAAATGGAAGAATAAGATGAATTATAAACTGTTGATGTGACAGATAAATAAAAAATGGGCACTAGAAATACAAGCAATCCTTTTTGTGCTGGTGCTTTATATATACTAATTAAAATTGTTACAAAATATTAAAATATGCAGGTAAAAATAAGGTTAATGTAATTCAGAGAATAAAGAAAGAGTGTATAGATGGGCTACCACAATTAGGGGAAAAATCTAAATTCTAAACCAGTAGAATGATTCCAATATTGTTCTCTTCTACTCTCTAGAAGAATTGAGTGGAGAAGATGTATATGCACAAAGTAGCCTTGTAAATATGTGAATATGAGTACTGGGTAAAAGAAAATAGGCTGAATTCATAGACAAAGATTGAATAACTACTACTATTTTCTAGCTAATTTGTTTCACAAATCCATCTTATTATTATCTAAAATTTCTTAGGCACTAGCAATAAAAATATTTAGAAATTCTAATTTCGGTTCTTATATTTAGGTTCTGTTTGTTTCTTGACCAAAGGATATTTCACTTATGCTGCCAAATACTTACTTTAAAAGTGCAGCTGATGGTAGGTGCTATAGAAGACATAGATAGAAAGAATAATTAAATCATAATAACATCACATCATCATCTCATTGACGTCTGTGAGCTTATGAATGTTGATAAATGAAACACCTTAAATATGATTTAAGTTTCACAGAGTAAAAGATAAAAACAGTAGAAGCATTTAAAATAGCTGATGATTCAGATGTGGTGACATAAAATCATCAGTAAGAGTCCGAATTAATAACAACGACACTGAAGTTCATGGCAGAAGATCATATACCTTGCTGCATACATTAAAGGAAAAATGACAGCTAGCTTTACAAAATAGATTACAAAATAAAACTAGGTGTGGACATAGTTTTAGAAGAGCTCAGGATAGAAAATGAATATTTATAAATTGTTCTTTTCTCAGATTTTTCTCTTCATTACAATGAAATAAATGTACAAATGTAAGGAAAAATATAGAAGTTATATTGAAATAGACATTTTTCATTTTTCTTAACATTCATAACATTGATTGTGCCATTGACTTCCTCAAGGCAAAGTAATCTTTCAAGCTAATTGAAACTTTTAAAACACATTTTCTACTTTGGATAAATTTGGCTGGGTCTTTTTTTTTTTTTTTTTTTTTTTTTTTTTTGAGGGGTGATAAAACAAGCCACAGGATACTGATTTTTGTTTTCTAGTTGTGAGAATTAGGTTTAAAGGATTTGGCAAGTTTGATTTTTATTTATTTTTTTCTTGAAGGAAGAGGTATTTTTCCTCTTTGAGATGTAAACAAAAATTGTACGATTATATAAATCATAGGAACTATTGAATGAATTATGGTTATTCCTGCATGATATTAACATTACATTTTATAAACATTCAATATATTATCATGTATGTTACAGTAAAATCGTCAACCACCCTTTGATGATATAAAATTCTATTAGTATCTGCCTGTTATTTAAGGCCTCTCTCCCTCCCTCTCTACCTTCCTTTCATTAGAACACTGATAGAGTGAAGAATTTAAATTTGCACACACAAAAAATAATGCCAAATATGATTCATGTTCATCAACATAAAAGCCAGATGTGTAAGGAGTACTAAGGCAGAAGTATATGTACCATAAAACTATAAAAGGACTCTTCAAACAAGATTCTTATAAAAGACTACCATTTGTTTTAGAAATGATGGCATGCACTTCTGCAACTTACCTTTTTTACCAAGCCTGAAATGCTAACTTATTTTTCTTTTCTTTTCAGAGACAAGAGAGAAGATTGAAAACAGGGGAGTTGAAGCAGAATATATATAAATTCATAACTCCGAGAAGTTGAATATCAATTGTCTACATATTAAGATTTTTTGTTGTTAAAACAATACACAACAAATTTCTGGTATCAAAAGGTTATAAACATTTTTAGATTTGACTTGGGATAACCATAATGAATACTTACTCAGAGTTACAAGTCTGAAAGGCAATTCCCATTCAAAGACAAAGTCATTGTGAACTTAGAACATTTGAGAACAGATATTCTAAATTATAGATTAGTAGTAGAATAGAAAATATATCATTTTTCCTTATATCCAGATGGGCTCACTTCTGTAATTATTCATATCCACTGGCTTTCATCCTTCCAGCATGCACCTCTGTGAAGAGCCTGGCTCCAATTTCTTGGTGACTTCCCCTGTAAGTGCTGAAGGGCTGCTCTTAGATCCCTGCCAAAGCCATCTCTTCTCCAAACTGAACAAGCCCAGTTCCCTCAGCTTCTCCACACACAGCAAGTGCTGCAGATGCACAGTCAGCTTGTTTGCCCTACAGTGAACTGCCATCAATGTTTTTCTGCTATCAGGGAGCCAAACCAGGAGGCCGTGTCACAAGTGCTGAGGAGAGGGGCATCATCATTACCCACATCCCGTTGGCCTTCCTTGCAGCCAGGGCACACTGCTGGCTCATGCACAGCTTGCCATCCACTAACATCCTCAGGGCTTCCTCAGCTAAGCTGCTCTCCAGTCAATCAGTTGGTGTCATTGCAAAAGGATCTTCCTTCCCATGATCAGGACTTGAGTCTTGTCCTAGCTGAGCTCTATATGGTCACTAGTATCCCATTTTTCCAGCTTAAGTCTTTCTAGATGCCTGCCCTATCCTCAAGCATATCAGCTGGTACCCCCCACTCATCAATGTCATGTGCAATCAATTATTAAAAATGCCATTCAATAATATGAAGTTAATGATAATCTAGGCCTTGTGTTTGTTTTTAAAGTATACTTCAGAACTGTAATAATTGCAAGGTCACGAATTCCTGATTGAAAAAAAAATGTAGAAAGGATACAATAGTCTGTACAAAATGTTTTGTAAAATGTAACCATAAATAAATAACATTTTATTCCACCACAGTTCTGCTAAAAAAAATAAAAGCTGTTCTTCATCCAATTCTTCTATCAAACAGTTTTAGTAGGGCATATACCACACCACCTAAATGCCACTTAACAGTACTTTCATCTAGACTGATCTGATATCCCTGCAATTGTGACAGCCAAGTCTCCTGAATAAAAGAATTAAGGATGCAAGGAGCAGCATTGCCAAATGCTACACTAATATTCAATGCTTAAAATACAGATATTATCAGCATGCATATTTGGGACCAGAATTAAGGAGTCCTCTGACAATGTTATAAAGCTGCAACTAAACTAAGTTTTTCAATTAAATGATTACAGAAAAGACAACTGAGATGAGAACATAGCATCTCATCAGGGAATGAAAGAGGTTACTCAGCCTGTCCAAGTTCATCCATTCTTAGTACTTCCCTCCCCTATGGAAGACATCTCATTTTTCTCATATGACCCTTGTGTTTTTGCTTGAACAACTTTGCCTGACAGCCTGTTTCACACATTTATCATTCTCTGCATGAAAAAGTGGTTCTGACACCTATTTTGAATACGATTTTTTTTCTCTATCACTGTTTTTCTGTTTTTCTCTTCTACGTCATTCTAAAGATAATAAGTCTAGTATTATCAAAGCTATTTAAGTTTTACATCTTTTAAGCTATAAAACTCTTTAGCTATTCTTAGCTAGTAAGCTGTTGACTTAATATAGAAATTCTTAACTTTAGCTGATCCTTAATGACCTGTTTTTTGTTGTTGTTTTTTTTTCTGGACTTAATTACCAAAGTGCAGGGCTTTCTCTAGCCCTGCACTATGACCTTCCTACAATATAATTCTTAAATATTTTAGCCAAACATTCTTATCTGGTATTAGAAATGCATGCAGAGTTGCTAAAACTTTCAATGGGCAAGACATAAAGAGAGGCAATGTCACAGCTAATGTGAACTGACAGAATTTCATAAATTTCAGCGATGATGATTTATACTATTTGAGATCCTGTCCCAAAATCTCTGGAAATGAGTCTTTTCCTACTGTAAAAGGAGGAGTCATTTGTATAGTTTGAAATACTTTTGAAAAAGTACATTGATTTCCTAGATCTCTTTCTCCTTTGCTTCAGTTTTGTAATTGTTGTCTTTGTTATTTCCCTCCTCCTAGATGTTTCAGCTTTATATTCCTGTGTCTTATTTAAGACTCTGTTCTGAATGGTCATTGAATCCTGTCTAGCTATTAAGTTTAAATTTTATTCATACATCAGTATGCATTTCCAAATGGCTGATCAGAATGTAAAATTATTTATTGTAGGTTCGAAAATGCTGTAAACTATTTCTTTACTATAACAAAGAGAGAACACAAAGTGAATAAAACTCCTATGAGATCTGATTTCCTACCAGTATTGCTTTTAAGATGGTGCCCTCTATAAAAGATGGAGAGCAAAAGCATAAATTACCCTTTGGTAAAATGTATCTGTGGATTATTTTTCCATTCAGATAATAAAAATTCCTAGGCATTTGAGTGAATTGTCATGTATTGATCACTGCCTGCTGGAATTGTTTCATGCTTTGATTTATTTTACATTTCTGTAAAAGGAATATTTTTTCTGCTATGTGTTACATAATATATGTTGCGATGACTGATTGTTTTCTAAATTTTCTGAGAGCTAGCACTTGACAGATTTGCTTTACCTTAGCACATCAGCTTATAATTACTTTGTACAATATAATATATATGAGCTACATATTCAAAGATGATCTAGTAATTTTAAAGTGCAAATGTGGCACTTCATAGCTTCATAGCTCAACTGCCTAATTAAAAACCAGTGGAATTTTTGGAGTAACTATCAAAATAAAGAAGTTGGACATTCTGGTGCTGTTGGTACATATTTAACCACAAAAGGGAGTTACAAAGCCTTGAGTCCACTGAGTTTAATTCTAAATTCTACAACCAGAGACAGATGTTCAGTCTTTCCAGTTTTAAAATCCTCCTCCAGTCTCAGAAAAAGCACTTTTAAGTGTTAACTTGGGAAAACATTAGAAAACCTTTTGAAGCAGAGAAAATCCTCTTCCCTCTATTTTTTCGAGGACTGACTCTTATTGAAAAAGAACTTCAAATTTACCCCAATGGACTTTATAGAAAGAATAAAACCTGTTTTTCTTTAAACCCACTACTGTTTATGTTTTTTTATCTTCTGTTTCGATAATTCCCATGGATGCTCACATACATTCTTTATTATTTCAGAAATATTTTCAAGGGCAACTATCCAATGCTAACAGATTCTGCATTGCAGCCACTTCTCTGACAGGTTGGCTGGTTAGGTTAAGGGTCTTCTTATTTACATTTGCTCTTGAGCTTTATTACCTCAAATATTCTCCTTCCACAGCTAGCTTCACAAAATCTCATACACAGGACATTCCAGCAATGTGCCTTAATTCAAATTCTCATTTGGCTCCTAAAAACCACATTTGTAAAATTGTCTTTGGTAGAATATGAGCTGAACAAAAAAGGAAAAAAAAATCACAAAATACTATTAAAATCTTACATTTAAAGGTAAGTCATAACAGAGCGCAACCTACTGTAATGAATTGTAATTTACCTTTCTTATATCTCCCTTATTCACTTAATTCTTCATTTATTAAAATTAAATGGATTATAGTAAGCCTTAAAAGGGAAATGGAAAAAAAATACATTAAATGTTAAGGAAAAAAAATAAAGAACTCCAAAAAATCATAAGCAATTTTTTCCTGAATTTAAAATATTCAAATTGCTGTAAGGTAATCAACCTAGTTAAGGTGGCCACATCACTAACACTAACTTACATGCAGACGTTTTCTGTCAATATCAGCCTTCACCATTTTACTGGATCTGCTGATAGAGAAAAACAGACTTTCTGCCAGCCCCAACTGCCCGTAAAGATCACACTGTGATCTGCTAGACTGGCAGAACTTCGCTCTGGCACAGCAGTTGCTTTCTCAGTTTGATCTGTACCTTTACCTCAGTGCTTCAGTGTTGTTACAGCTCCTTTCCAAGATTTTAGAATATACAAAAAAGTCCACAGCATTTTCTCTTTCTCTGCAAATAAAAAAAGATTCTAAGCCATAGAAGGATTTGGGTTTTCTTTGATTCTTTCAGTTCTCTTTTCTCAGCCCTTGCAAACAAGCCATTATGAAACATTAAAAAAAAAAAAAAAAAAAAAAAAAAAAAGTATTGTTTCAATTCTGGGAAGAAGAAAAATGCAATATATAATTCACTTGTTCTTGCACCTCACAAGCAGCATTTCTGACCTTTTATCAAGTTCTCTTCAACTGAAATCCATTTTACAAAAGAGCTTGCATTCTTTTCGCTACTCTGATTGCACTGTGATTGGCATGTGATGTGAATGTGATGTGACTGGCCTGTGTGTTAGCATTCAGTTCAAGGTTTCTCAGCATCTTCGCAGTGAAAGACCGAAGTATTGCTGACTTTGGCCAATTCACACACCTGTAAGTGATACAATCCACCTAAAATGAATCATTAAGGAGAACTGAAACATCAGCAGATGCTGTTGCCCTCAAAGTTCAATAAGTCTCTTACAGACTGTGAAAGTTTGGCCTAGTGTATATATATTGAATCATAGTCTGAGGCAGTATGAATTTATGGATGCTTCCGATTTATCTCATGTCAGCATCTGGCTTTTTTTCCTGTCTCAAAGTTATCTTTGCCTTCTTTTTTCCTGATACATGGAACTGTAATACTAACTGAAAATTAGCTTTTCCTAAGATTAGTTATTATATTTTATATATAAATAAAATAGGAGAGACAGAGAGAGGAGAGAATTTAGGCTGTAGAAGACATCTTTCACGGAAAAAAAAAAAAAAAAAAAAAAAAAACACAGACTGAAGAGACATAGAAGAAAAAATAGCAATGAAGAACACAATAATAGCACATATGTTAAAAGCTGAACTCACAGAATCACAAAGTCCCATATAGTAATAAAGAACTTTTACACTAACCAGCTTTATTTTCAGTTTAGGCAACAGCCTTATTGATCCTGAATTTCCTGGGTACAGTGAAGTAAACCTTAACTATGCTCATTAATACCTGATTTTCATTTTCTGCTTCTCTTTCACATTCTGACTATTGATCAATTTCCTTCCACAGATCAAATACT